TCTGAAACCAGGTGATCCCCACTTATTTCAATTGCAAACATCTGGACTTCTATCCAAGATAAATAGGTATTTCTTTCATCGAAAGCAAAGCAAAAGAACAAGCTTTAAGGTGATATCAGTAACTCCACATGCCCAAAAAATTGACGAGCGTCTGATTCCACCGCGTCGTCCCATATGTGAGGCAGCGGGGAGAAATCAGGCTCTCGTCAAAATAATCTAAGTGAAGAAACTTGCATTTTTCTCAGGTTTGTGAATTTTCATCAAATTTTTGTTTTTTGTCTCAACACCTTTCATATCCGTTAAAGAGCTCATTTCTGTGAGGATTTTTCTGAAAAACGTTGATTAAAAGCACAAAAAAATGTAAATTTTCAGTTACCACGGACTCTAAAGCTAAGGAAATAACTACTCTTTGGCAGCCATATTCTCATTAATTTTACCTCTGAAAACAGGTGACCCCCACCTCCTTCATTCGCAAATATCTTGACTTGTATTCAAGATAAATGGATATTTTTTTCATCCAAATACAGACGAGTGAACAAGCTTTAAGATGATACCAATAACTCTACATGCCCAAAAATTGACGAGAGCCTGATTTCACCCCGTCGTCACATATTATGTATGTGCATGTGATTCTATCAGATGTTTTTGGGCCCCATATTGGGGTTGCAGTAGTCATAATCGTAGTTATCAAACATCATTAATTTTAATTGTAAGAACTTGTATGCCCCCATTGGCACAATTTAGATAATGCAGGAGGCGGTCTTCGGACCTGGATCTCCTTGGTGCAGCGGCGAAGTACATAACTGCTACACCACAGACGCCTGTCAGACTATGACGGAAAGAGTAGATCAAGAAAACAGACACAGAAAACGAACTAAGATTAAAGAAAAAAAAGCAGACAGCTACATTTTCTGCAAGGACAAATGACCTTTTTTTTGTCCCGTGTCTTGATTTTGTTCCAAAAATTGGTTATTAAAGAATAAATTATTAGCGTGTTAATGTGGTAATTATTGTTAGAGTTAGGTTGTTCAGAACAAGAAAAATAGGTGTATTTCTTTTAGGAAAAGTGGTTCAGTATTAAAGAGCTTCGCGAGCATCTTTTTGCCTGACGCTTTGCGAAAATAATGTCGAAGTCCTTTTTTTTTTGTGACCCCTGTGGTAAGGTATATTATGTTTGTTTTTTCTGTTATCAAAGAGAGCGTTGCCATCCACTTAATGTAATTGAGGACGAAACCTCACCAGCTTCATGTAGCAGCCATCCCGTCAGTCGAAAAGTCGGGAACAGATAATATAAATGTACACTTCGATCTTAGCCAAAATGCCGAGAAGCGAATGTTTGTTTTGAGTAAAGAGAAGCACACTGACTCATTTATCACTTCGAATTCTTTATCATCATATTATCATTTTGTAGTTTTTGTTTTGTCGAATGCAGTGAACTTTTTTTTTGTTTTTTTTGTTTTTTGCAATCTATATTTTCCACTACCCGGTAGTTCAGAGTTTTCATTTTGCGTGGGGAAAAAGTGAGACTAATTGACAAAAACAACAGAGGAACAGTTACAGTAAAGTAGTAGGCACTACAAGTAGCGCTATCCAACCACGCACTAACTCTGATGTAACCACATGGAAACGCGAGTTCGTTTTGACAGACAACGGACTGCCAAGCAGCAAAACAGAGGAAATTACATTACTTTTAATAATATTTTAATTTGGAAGTGCAAATTCAGAATTACACCACTTTGCATGTGCTGTTTCTCAAGAGCTGCAACGCTTGAAATTTTTAATTATAGTTTGTAAGTGGCACCCAGTTCTCTTTATAGGATACAAGCCCACATTTTTTAACGTAATGCTCCGAAGAAAATATGTTTCTTGTATAATGTGGTACCTACGGCCATTCTAGCAGATCAGAGACATAGGATAAATAACATTACCTGAAACTGACAAAACATCCGAATGTACAGTTCTTGTGGAATAGAAGAAGAGGAAGAACCTTAAAAACGGCATCTTGACAGCCAGGGTTCAGGTAGTTGCTCTAACCACACTTTAAGAAGCCAGTTCGCTTCCTCAGAATTACAAAGTTCTATCTGCTCAGTACCTAGTTTTGAAAAATTTGACGTAAAAAATGTTTGAGTTCAACAATATTTCCAACTTTTTCGAATGCAACTCTTTGAATGTCTTGGTAACGACTCTATCCCTTCAGATTTTGATATGGCAGATGGAACATTAAATTTTGCTTTCTGACCTCATGGTCTCTATGACTCAAAACGGCCAAAAATGTCAGATAGAAATCGCTCAGAAACTGCCGGTTTGCATTCGGAAGCAAAGGGACTTCAGTTTTGTCGTGTCAAGGGAGTTAACACAGAACTTTGTATTTCTTTCCGAAAAGACGAGTTAATTCCCCTCAGCTACGAAATTTCCCCAAAAGCGGTAAGATTCCAGCTGCAAGATGGACCCAGAGTCATATCTAAGGAGTATGGCAAAAATAGATCATAGCCCGGGTGATACTCAAAAGGGCCCCCTTACCCTACCCCTCCCCCC